GCGCCGAATGTTTGCGGGGGGGGGGGTGTTAAGAGCTTTTTTTCATCACAAATTATATTTGTCATTGTTGATGTGTCCTGTGAAGTGTGATTTTTTTTTTTTTCTTCAATGACAGGTCCACTTTAAAGTGAAACAGTGATGCTGACCATGTAACCATCACTTCTTTCATTCCAGGAGCCAATAAGGGGGATGCTTTGTGCAGCTCTGTGTTTCGGGGCGCTGGTGAGGTCCTCGCTAGTCACGTTGTTGCTGTTCTTCCCAAAGTCGACAAGGTGACTTATTATTCCGTTATTATTAAAGCTGAGCTCCGGCCTTCCCTTCAGTTGTACAGGTTCCTCTCCTGGACTGAAATTGCTTCTTTGAGGCTTTGTGTATTTCTTCCAGATCTGTGCAGTAATCCAGTGTGAGACTTGGAGCTTCCTGTACTAAAGACCGCTCACTGCTGCTATCTCCTCTTGAGCAGGGTGACTGGTCTGGTCTGGTCTCCGCCCCCTCCTGTAATAAAGACCGCTCACTGCTGCTCTCTCTCCTTGTTCAGGGTGACCGGTCTTGTCTCCGCCCCCTCCTGTAATTTTCTGTAGTGGGTAGAGCCTGTTGGGTCCTTACCACAGATCTGCTCAGGCACACAAAGTGGATTCATTACCATTGTGACTATTGGGGAATATTGTTAAAGGAGAACTATGTTGTCAGTGTTTTTCCCCATAGTTCTCCTAAGGGTAACGGGAGGCCATAAACTAGCGTCCTCCCGTCACCCTAAGCACATTACTGTCGAGATCCACCCAGCTGCGTGATTGACAGCTGGCTCTGCCTATCTAGAGGAAGTGCCAGCTGTGCCCTCCCCCGTCCGTTCTGCCAGTCAGCGCTGGAGGATCAGAGCGGGGAGGGGGGAAATCCCTGCAGCGAGCCGTGAGTGACAGTAACGGCTCTCTGCAGGGACAGGATTGAGAAGTGAGCGAGCGACGCTATGTGTTCACTCACTTCCCGATCTATTGCGCCGACGTGTGACAGTCTCATTGTCACAGGTCGCCTAGAACTATGAGGATGAGTGATTTTCACTCACCTCATAGTTCTCCTTTAAATAAAGTTTTGGTGGCCGGAGTTCAGCTGCAATGTTCTCAAGTCCTTGTTTCTAGCTGTTCCACCATGACTTATATCTCACCCAATTGAAAGAACTTGTACAGACAGGTGTCAGGAGGGGCAGATCTCTCCTGTCGTTCTCCTCTGTAGCCCCGGACTGATTGTGTCTTCTTCCCTTAGGCCTTATTCCAAGGGGAACTGGGTCTTCCGGTGCTGGCCGAGGGCTCGGTGTGGAAGAGTTGGGACCTCCTGAAAGATGGTGAGATTCATTTTACATCCAACATGTAGATACATTGGATTTTCCAACCATTCACTCTATGGCAAAGCTAGGCTTGTGTCAGGGGGTCAGCCTGGGGCATTAATATGTTTCATCAATGGAACCAGAGTTTTTTTTTATATGCAATTGCTTCATGTCAAGTCCAGGAATGTTGACTGGTGCACTTTACTGTATGTGCCAAGGTGTATGGTGGATGTTGCTCCAATCAACATAACCTGGTAATCATAACCAGCATGGGGTCAGAGACCTGATAGATGTAAGGTGTTGATTGCAGTTGTATGATTGGAGCTAGCAGGTGTTAAAACAGCATTGTATGCAATCAACACCTTATCCCCATGAGGTCTCTGACCCCAAGCTGGTTATGAATAACTGAATATGTTGATTGGAGCGACATTCACCATATTTCTTCCCAGAGAATGTTTTAAAGGGAGCAGATAAATCCTCCCTTATTCTTACATACTCCCACTTATCTCAGGAGGAGAATTGTACTCAAATGTCCCTCATTGCCCAAAACAGCATTGTATGCAATCAACACCTTACCCCCATGAGGTCTCTGACCCCATCCTGGTTATGAATAACAGATTGTGTTGATTGGAGCTATCAGTGAAAAGGTATCATTACTGATATTCCAACCACTGTAGAAGGATGCTTCATTTCTGTTCCTTGGTGACACCTCTTCACCACAAATGCATAAACACAGCCAGAGGTGTCACCTCCCTTCCTCCAGGTACACTGGTGAAGCTGCAGACTTGGGCAATGAGGGGTATTTCAGTACAATCCTCCTCCTGAGGTAGGTGGGAGTATGTAAGAATAAGGGAGGATTTCTCTGCTCCCTTCCATGCTTCAACCCCTTCCCTTGTTTTCAGTCAGAAAAATAATAGAGAGGTGCTGGGACTTCAGAATTTGTGTGTACAATCAAGTGGAGTGGAACTTTGAGACAAGCCTGCTGGCTCAGATGAGGCACCCCGCATATAAGGCTTCCCTTGATGGGTAGCCAGAAGTGACTAAAACCATAAAAGTATAGAAAAGAGCGCCAAACCAAAAGACGAGACACCAAGATATAAAAATAAGAACATGAGAATGTGAACAGACCCGGAGGTAACAGTACCAAACAGAACTGTATTATATCTTCTTCAATGAGAACTATGGTCTAACGTTTCTTGGCTATAGTTCTCTTTAGGGTCACAGGAGGACATTTACTATGTCCTCCTGTGCCCCAAAACTCAGCATATAGCAGGCCATTGCCTGCTATACACTGAGTGGCCAGATTATTATGACCACCCCGTCAGTACTTCGTTGGGCCACGAGATGACTTCGTTGGGCCGCCTCGTGACTCCTCGAGATGTTGAAAGGTGATGCGAGGAATCTGACACGGCACTGTTGCCCTTCTGTTCTCTTGTACCAGTCTTGCCACTCTCCGTTCTGCCCCAACATTGACTAGTCGCTGACGGACGCAATTCGCACGTTCAGACCCAGATTTTCGGCTGACAGTCCGGTCTTTAAACACTTTAACAACAGCTGCTCTTGAACATTTAACGAATTCTGCTGTTTTGCTGATACTCGCTCCATGGCTCCGAGCGCCAACAATCATCCCACCTGCAAAGGCTGTTACATCGCGTTGTTTCCCCCGAATCTTCAGAGACAAATCACTTCTACTGTCGTGGTAAACAACCCGCTTCCCTATTTATAATGGTCTGGCCCTCTGGCAACTTCAGCGCCAAATTATAGCTAATTTGCCTACAAACGTCAGGTGGTCATAATAATCTGGCCACTCAGTGTATGCTGACAGCACAGAGCCACGATGCAGCCGGGAAAGATCCCAACAATATTGTCAGGAGCCACCATACCACCTAATTGACAGCAGGCCTCTCTGAAGCCAGAGCCAGCTGTGCCTGCCCCCCTCCCTCCAATGAACGCTGTGGGAATGGAGAGGGGAGGGGGAATCCCTGTAGGGAGCGGTGACTGACAGTCACCACTCACTGCAGGGAGAAGCCTCGAGCTGAGTGATCACTCAGTTCTTGATCTATAGAGCCTATGTATGACAGCTTCAGTGTCACACGTCGGCTCTAATTATGGGGATGAGTGTATTTCACTCTCCCCATAATTCTCCTTTTAAAGGACTGGTCATGTACCAATATAGTCAGCACCGGTCAGGCATTGATTGCCAGAAAAGATTTTCCAGCACACTAGGTTGCACTGCAGGCTGTGATGTGAGCTTTTTCAGTTGGCCATTAGGCTGCCTATCTGATGGATCAGGTCAAGGAGCACACACGGCAGGCTGACAACACTGCTGCTAATTGCTTAGCATTGTCAGTCTGCAAAGGGAAGTGCTGTTACTGGCAGGATCTTCAGGTAAGAAAACTGTATACAGTGAGCATGGCACTAACATACTGAAAAACAGACTTCAGATTTAATTACGCTGTGCAGATGAACTAAAAATTTGTTTGGGAAAGAGTAGGAAAGCTTAACACCTTGGTCAGGTCCCTATACAGCAGGGCTGGAGTGTGAGAGGAAGAAGCAGCAGGAGCCAATTAGACAAGCAATAGGAGGAGAAAGCAGGGAGACATTGAAATGAGCTCATTACTGTGCTGCTTCTCCTTTCACCATCCAGTCGTAGGGTGGGGGCGGGTCCAGGACAGTTTAGGCTCAGAAGAAGTGTGTTGAATGAGGCTGGCCATCAGCCCGAGGACATCTTGTGGCAGAAAAGATGTACTGCGGGTGAGAGCAGTTCTCTGTATCAAAGCAAAGGACAAGCCTCAGCAATGCATGCCAATTGCATTATGATGCACAGGTCTTGGGTGCGCTAACTACTTTTCCTCCTGTGCAGGTTTTATCCAGGTCCTGGAACAGGCCCGAGGCAGCCAACATGGAGCAGATCTACGGCGTTTCAGCCTCTTGAGACTTAAGCACTCGTCAGCTGTGGGCGGAGCCTGCCTGGGAGCCAAGAACATAGGACAGGATCTGCCTCTTAACTACCAAGATAATGTGGATGTCTTCTACACCCATTCCTTCACGTAGACCGAGGAAACATGCTCTTGGCTGTGATACTGGTTGTCTTTAAAGAGCTCCTGTACTCTAGTGATACACATAATGGAAGGGATAGGTAGAGGAAGGAGATGCTCTACCAATGGTGAAGATTTTAGTGTATATTGGAACGGTCATGTTTAAAGAGAACCTATTCATTCTCTGAGGAACACAGTGCTGCCTTTATAATTCCTATAAGTCATAATAAGAATGTGTAACCAAGCAGCGGTGTTACTGGTATGCAAATTCTGACTTTTAGTCAAAAGTCAGCAACCTAGCTTCATTTCTAACTCTACCAATCTCCCCAACCTTCAGCCATATGCAGCAAGCAGTCATAAAAAAGACGGGGCAAGATGAAATCACCCATTAGATGAATACCCGGGAAAGAGTTCTTGTTCATTGTTTATGCACCAGAGATCAGTTTATAAGCGGAACGTTTCATAATCGGTAGCATTTTGTAAAGACGTTGCTTTAAAGGAGTACTATGAGGTGAGTGATTTTCACTTGTCCTCATAGTTCGAGCCGACGTGTGACAATGAGACTATCACAGGTCGGCTCAATAGATCGGGAAGTGAGCGAACACATACCGGCGCTCACTTCTCGATTCTGTCCCAGCAGAGAGCCGTGACTGTCACACACGGCTCCCTGCAAAGATTCCCCCCCCCCCCCAGTGGATCTCGACAGTAATGTTGGGATCCGTCCCGGCTGTGGCGGTCACAGTATACCGCGAGCTGTAGCTCACGCTATACTGAGCTTAGGGTCACAGGCGGACGCTAGTTTGTTCTCCCATGACCCTGAGGAGAACTATGGGGAAAAACACTTTCCTGTCGCTCACGGCCCCTGCAGGGATTCTCCCCTCCCTGCTCCGATATTCCAGCGCTGTCTGGAGGAACGAACGGGGGAGGGGGCAGGTACAGCTGGTTCTAGATAGGCAGAGCCAGCTGTCAATAACGCAGCTGGGTGGATCTCGACAGTAATGCTGGGATCCGTCCCGGCTGCAGTGTCTCAGTATACCGTGAGCTGTAGCTCGCAGTGTACTGAGCTTTGGGTGACGGGAGGACGCTAGTTTATGTCCTCCCGTGACCCTGAGGAGAACTATGGGGAAAAACACTTACCCCATAGTTCTCCTTTATGGATTATTTAAGGCACATTCTAGGTCCCGTGTGCCTTTCTGTTACTTTTATCATGGCGGCTCTGGGAGGCTAGGTTGCAGGAGAGTTAGGAGCAGTGGACTAAGCTGTCAGAGAATTTTTGTAAGCCCGGCACATGCTAACTTGGCAAAATTGCAATGACAACAAACAGGAGAGGCAGACAGGCCTCGAGCAAACATGACCCTTCAAAAGTGCACCAAGACCTTCATCTGTTAAAAACACTAGGCACAGCGTTCATCTAGCCCAGGGGTAGGCAACCTGAACAGTCCAGCTGTCCCATGAGGCATTGCAAGACTCTGACAGCCACAGGCGCGACACCCAAAGGCATGATGGGATTTTCCGTTTCAGCACAGCTGGAGTGTGGAGGTTTGCTACTCCTGATCTACCTCTTCACATTATTATGACAGTACTGGGGCTCCTTAAAGCATTACTCCACCTCACTACTACCGTGCAGCTATCTTAGTAGGGCAGCAAGACAAGTTGATGATAAAGCATTGTAGCCTCACAAAGTGCTCAGTGATTATACATTTGGGTGGTTCAATGAGACACCAATTTACACAACTGTATGACTCCTCGCTTTTTGGATATGGACCACACCCTTGGGAGTTAAAGATTTTTCAACATCTTTTTTTTTTTGTAATCACAATGTTTTGATGAAAACTATTAAACAGATTTATTAAGAAAAAAAAAACTTTATTGGTTTATACGAGCTACAGAAATAATCAGAAATGAATACAGGATAAACTGTAATACAGAAAGATGACCGTTTCCAAGCTACGCTGGGGGCTTTCCAGAAGAAGCAGGCCAGAGTCAGTGCATTGCCGATATTAGTTGAACTTCCCCGGCGGTAAAAACTGAAATTTAGGAGATTATCTTCTGAAACTGATGCTAGGTTGTGCAATCTTTCAAGACAGCGCATGAGATAGGCTCCTCCTTCCAGCAACAGGGGGTTTCAAAACTGATGAAAATGGTGGTACAACATGGCGTAACCATCCAGAGCCATGCAGAATACATATTCAATACCTTGCGGTAGATGGAAACTTGGCAAGGCGCTTAAACATCCGTTGGAGAGCCAACATTACTTTGTTGGAGATCCTTTTTCTTCTTTAAAGACCCTGTTGAGTAGCCAGGATGACAGTTTGAGGGCCTGAACTTGATGATGACGAACGGGTACCTGACTGTTGTTTTCTGCTGGTAAAATCCAAGATGGCATCTTGCTCAACTTGCAGATAAATAAAAAGTTGGGCTTTCCTGAGCGGCCTATGTCCTGCATAGGATGTCCACCAAGAAGGTGAAGTATTCCCTGTACTACTGTCACAGAAAGGAGATACGATTCAGCCCATGACAATACTTTTACTGCTAGTTCCATCAGTTGTGGGGATCTGCTGCCTCCCCAGTTAATGTATACAGGTCTAACATTCTCACTCTCCTTGAGCTCTTGGGTGTTGAAAGAGGCTTCTCGGGTATTGAGTTATTGCATCATTGAGAGGAGTTCCATATCCCCAGGAGCTGGCATCCATGGTGTTTGTTACTCTTGCCGGGTGCCAAGATTGTGTTTGTTCTTCCAATGATCCAGGCCATATTGGTTGTAGACTCCTGACGTTTATCCCAATTTGCTCAAAGGAAGTTCTGGCGTTGTCTTGAATGTATCTGGGCCCTCTTGAACTGCTGGGGTTGATGCTGGCGTGAGCCCGGTCCCCTGCATGATGAACCCTATTAAGCATTTTCTTATATCTGTTTGATAAGTACAAAAAACAAACCTGTTGATCTTGTCAGACATTCAAAGCTGTACTGTGTATTCTGCCCACTTCCTGTGTTGTCTGAAAAGCACTCCTAGTTCTTATTTTGGACTAAAAGAATAGTTAGTCTTTATGTTGTGGAGATCTGAGAGCAGGAGGGGTTGCGTAGTTTAGCAAAAGACATTGGGCAGGGCTGGCACCACTTAGTCCACAAAATGGAATTGAGAGCTGAGCACATTTCTGGAAGAGCAAAAAGGTATATTTCTGTCCTATTGATCTTCAGGGCCATCTTTAATATTAATTGGACCCTGGGCAAACATTTTCTTGGGCCCCCACAATGCAATTTTGCCCATACATATGGCAGGGGAGGAGCAACAATATGCAACGCAGATCGCATAGTAAACAGAGCAGTGCCACGTGTGTATCTTTTGTGGACTCAAGGGGCAGCTGATTTGGGCCCCACAACAATGACCGAGACTGGGCAACTGCTCCTTTTGCCCCGTGGTAAAGGCGGCCCTTTTGATCTTCTAGGGTACCTGCCTTGTAGAAAAGTAAAATTGTAGGTGATAACCTTTGTGTGGTTAGCTGCATATGTTTTGAGGATCCAGCTTTTCAAAACTGTTTCCTTCTTCAGGCTTGGTTTCTTTCCTTCCTGGGTACCTGCCTATAAATGAGACTGATCCAGATCCATCCGGATGTCTATTGTGAAGGCGATACTGGTGGTTACTAGGGGGTCTTGAAACTTGCAGGTGCCACTTCCCAAGATCCCTTCATCAGTTCTGCAGGCTTCTTGTCTGTGAGGTTCCTAATAACTCCCATGTCCTCAAACTAACAAATCAATTCCTTAGACGCCCAAGAGAGTGACGCATCCAGATTGTTGCATTTTTCTTCTATCCTCGGCAACAGAAAAGCATCTTTTCAAGCCTATAGGGGACGATAAGTGTTTTTCAGCATCTTTTTATTGTCTCTTGCAGGGGAACGATACCACCAGGGGCTGACTGACAACACATGGGAGGCCCCCGGGCAATACAAGATTATGGGGTCCCCTTCTGCTCCGCCCATATACAAGCCCCACCTGCATAAACATTCTCGTGTTACAGAAATTATTTCTCCACACTGTTTTTAAAATAGTGGGCAAATTCACTAACAGATGAATTGCCGGGGAATTGGTAGAGGAATTTCAAAATCTAGACCAATAGAGGCGATTTGGAATGGGAGCTAAATGTCAGAATGCACGGCCGACCTAAGATCAGCCCCACTGCAAATCCCAGACCAGCACCAATACACGGCAGACCTCGGACCAGCACCAATATACGGCAGACCTCGGACCAGCACCAATACATGGCAGAACTCAGACCAGAATCAATATACGGCAGACATCAGACCAGCACCAATACACGGCAGACATCAGACCAGCACCAATACACGGCAGACATCAGACCAGCACCAATACACGGCAGACATCAGACCAGCACCAATACACGGCAGACCTCAGACCAGCACCAATACACGGCAGACTTCAGACCAGCACCAATACACGGCAGACCTCAGACCAGCACTAATACACGGCAGAACTCAGACCAGAATCAATATACAGAAGACCTTAGACCAGATTCAATACATGGCAGACCTCAGACCAGAATCAATACACGGCAGACCTCCGACCAGAATCAATACACGGCAGACCTCCGACCAGAATCAATACACGGCAGACCTCCGACCAGAATCAATACACGGCAGACCTCCGACCAGAATCAATACACGGCAGACCTCCGACCAGAATCAATACACGGCAGACCTCCGACCAGAATCAATACACGGCAGACCTCCGACCAGAATCAATACACGGCAGACCTCCGACCAGAATCAATACACGGCAGACCTCCGACCAGAATCAATACACGGCAGACCTCCGACCAGAATCAATACACGGCAGACCTCCGACCAGAATCAATACACGGCAGACCTCCGACCAGAATCAATACACGGCAGACCTCCGACCAGAATCAATACACGGCAGACCTCCGACCAGAATCAATACACGGCAGACCTCCGACCAGAATCAATACACGGCAGACCTCCGACCAGAATCAATACACGGCAGACCTCCGACCAGAATCAATACACGGCAGACCTCCGACCAGAATCAATACACGGCAGACCTCCGACCAGAATCAATACACGGCAGACCTCCGACCAGAATCAATACACGGCAGACCTCCGACCAGAATCAATACACGGCAGACCTCCGACCAG